AGGGGGGGGGGGGCAACAGTCAGGAAGCAGTCAGTTCTCCGCGCACACTTTCGCACCACGGCGGTGCGACGGACGGTGACGCGCGGTGCGGCAGAGCCACCAGGGCTTTGGCGCGCATGCGCGGCCGCGAGCCACAGGCCCATCCGCACACGAGCCCGCGCCGTGCAGCATCACCGCCGCGTACTGACAGCCTGACCAGCCCATGCCATGGGAAATGGCATTACTATTAATTTATCGGGGCGCCAGCGCGCAGTGTGGGGGTTGTACAGGCGGGCGGGCGAGCCAGCACCCCTCTCCTCTGCCCAACGATTGACACAGCCTGTCGCCGCCAGACTCGACGTTTCGCAACATACCGCGGCGCCCGGTGGCGAGTCGCGGCAGGGCAGGGAGGGCGCCCTGGAGGTCATTACGGGCGTCACCCCCAGGACGCCGTCGTGCCCGCAAGACCCTCCTCCTACCTGTCTTCCCGGGGAACGGCGAGGTGGGGCGCTGCTGTCCGGGGGCCGGGGACGGCACAGGGGACAGCCGCGGGGAAATCAGCAGCGGGGACAGCAGTGGGGACAGCGGCCGGCCCCGGAAGCCCGCCGAGTAGTGCGGGGAGATGGGGCGGAACGAGTCGTCCACGAACGGGTCCCAGGAGGGGTCCGGCATCCGGAGGCGCAGCGACGACGAGGACGGCGACGACGAGCAGGGCGTGGGGTCGTCCTCGGACGACATGCGCCGCGGCCCCAGCCCGCGCGACGACATGCTGCGCACCAAGAGAGAGGCGCCGGGTCTACAAGGGCTGCTCGGGGATGGGCGCACCGGGCTGGCTGGGAGCACAGCGCCGTACTGCCGGCGCCCGCCTTTGTGCAGGGACGGGACGCGGCATCGGCGTCGACATGCGATGTAGTATTTTTAGGTCCGGCACCAAGCCACAACCACCGGCAGCAGGGCGGGGTAGGGCGGGGCACGGCGCAGGGAGGGGAGGGGGCGACAGTCGCGCAAGCCCCCCCGCAGACAATATGCCAGCCCATGCCCAGCCAGGTGCGACTCGCACCTTAGCACCAGCGTGCGGAGGCGCGGAGGCTGTGGCGCCGGCGCCGCGACGGCCCGGCCGCGAGTCGTGTCCCCGACATAGTCGCCGGCGAGTCAGGCGTTCTACGGGACGGGGTTTAGTTGGTGGTTCTGCGGTTGGGTTTCCAAAGCCGACCGGTAAAAACATGGCACATGTCGCCACCAGTTTTCTCGCAAAACCGCCCGAGGTGCCAAACCACACGGCAGAGGGGGCAAATGAGACGCGAAGGCTACCAGGATTACCCGCTTACTTCTCGAGTAGACGTACACACAGTCACGGAACGTATGACCAACGGCCATTCAAAATCATTTCACTGACTATCGAATCATTTCTTAAATCTTTGCAAATTCTCCGATAGCTCTATATTTACTTTAGTGTTTTCATTCGTTAATGTTTCGATAGCAAATGAAGTAATTTTGAATAACCGCATTGATGCCACGTTCAGTGACTGTGTGAACGTCTGTCCGATATCGCGACAGCGAAGGACCGAGCACGATCACCGAACGTGGAAGCGAAACACGATGCATTATGGCCAATGCGAGTGACCGTACAGGACAATGAGGGTTCGGCCATGTTCGGCACGACAGGAGAGGGCACCTGAGCGGGGGCAGGGGCAGGGAGGCGGCGGGGGCCGCGGACTGCAGAAGTGGAGACCGCGACCAGGACCAGTACAGCGGGGCGCCCGCGGTCAGGAGTTTGGGACACAGGAAGCGGGCCGCTGCGGGCAGCGCCCGCCTGAGCATGGCAGTCGCGCTGCAGCAGACAGCTGCAGCCCCAGCTGCAAGCCGCCGGCAGCAGACGCGCCGCGGTGCAGTGTGACAGACTTGGCCAGCTCAGCTCACACGCCTGAACTCTGCGCGGACCACCGGCGCTCTGCACTCTTGGGCGCGGCGGCTCAGAGGCGCGGGGCGGGGCGGCGCGGAGTGGCGAGGGGTGGCGCCCACTTGTTGAAGGGCCGAACAGGGGCCGAGCGGGCCGAGCGGGGCGGGCGAACAATGCCGAGCGCGATACAGCCACCGCAGCCGCGGACCTGTCCAAACCTGCCGGGACCGGCGCGCTGGGCGCCTGTCGGTCCGGGGCGCGGGGCGCGGGCGCGGGTCTGATCATTGTCGCTGGCGCCCCCTCGCCCTCCTCCCTCCCCCCCTCGCACACTTCACACACACACCACACGCCTTCGATCACCTGACCCCATTACCCCCTCCCCCCACCGCACACACACAAACACACACACACGCGCGCGCGCGCCGCGTCGGCTGCGACCAAGCCCTTCCTCATCACGGGCAGGCACAGGCAGGCCGCGGTTCTGCTGCTCGCCCATTTCAACACACCGTTTGACTAACGGTCTGCTGCTCCTCCACGTCCACCACGCGCCGTTAAAGAGGTATTATAGAAGTGAAAAGTCGACTGCGGGCGGCAAGCCCCCCCACCCCTCTCCTCTGAACAGGTATCGGCATGCAGGTGTTGCAGGGAGCCGCATCTTAACGAGCGCCGGTCATCGTCCTGCTGCGCCCGTCGTCCAGCCCAGCCCGTCTGTCGGCCTGCCCTCGATATAGTGCTCGCCCTGCTCGCCCCGCGGCTCCACCACCCCACCCGGCGGCGCGGTGCGGTGCGGCGGACGGCCCCATCGACCGCCCCCGGGCCGGGCCCCGGGTCGGCAGCACACCCTCCCACTCCTTGCGGCCGTCAGCTGTCACGCGCAGGCACGGCATGTCGCACTGCAACACCTCCTCCCGCCCCGCACCACCACCGAGCGCGCCAGCAGCGCCAGCAGCCAATCGACATCCCGTGACAGGAATGGTTACCGCGCGTCCAGCAACGAGCGCCTCCTCCTCAGTGCCTTTGTCTTGCCATCAAAAAGGAGAGAAAAAGAAACAGACACAAGACACAGGGGTCGTCCATAATGTACGTTCGTCTGTCTCCCCCAAACTACGGGAGCTCGACGCCTGCGAGACTCGGGGTAGGCCACCCCGCCGTACACGTATGCACGGTATGCAAGAAGTTGCCTACCTACCAGGCGCCACGAAAGCTTCGCATGAGCTGAACTTAGGCAGGTTCGAGACGGACGTACTTTCAGGACGATCCCATAAAAGCAAACGCAGGCCTACTGGGACAAAATAATTAATATGAATATTTGACGGGAAAGTGGTGATCGGAAAGGGAAGGGGGGGGGGGTCGTAACTGTCTCAACACCGCCGCGGCGGCTGCGAGCGGACTAGATTGCGGCGTGCGGTCGCGACATCGCCGGGCGATCAATTTCATTCCGGTGCCCGCCGTGTACCGCGCGACACAGAAAAGCAAGTCTTGTCCTCGGTGCACGCAAGCGGCGCAACGCGGCGCAAGCCAGGCACTAGTCGGTGACGAGACGGTGCCACGCCCACGTCGGTGCACAGGGCGCGCTGCAGCCGCGGGCGGGGCGGGCCTTCCCTTGATTATCATGGGCCGCTTCGTGGAAGAACCTACTCAATTTACATCAGCATGTATGGGAGGGCCGGGTGATTAACACTTTCCGTGCAACGGGTCCATTATGTGGACTCGTTCCATGCGTTGGGACGGACGCACGCCCTCCTCGGAAAGTGTTTGGAAGAGGAGGAGGAGGAGGGCGACGCGCCACGCAGGGGCTGGGCGGCAGCCAGGCCCAGGCCCACGGCCCAGGCCAGGCGGCCTCGACAATTAACTGGTGATTACTGTTGGGGCGGCTCGTCTCATCTCGTCTCATCGCCGCGAGCCCGACCGGGCCGGACCAGGAAACAGCCAACAGTACGCCGTAGACAACGGCAGCTTACCGGCTCACCTGCACTTCTCGTTATGTTACGAAGCTAGAAAGTGAATCAAGCCCATCAAGATAATATAGGAGGCTCCTCTCTGGCACAGAGACAAAGGGAGATAGCACACTCATTTTGTGTAGCCGGCAGTGGAGGGGGAGCAAGAGTAAATAAGCCAATCTACACAAGCGATGCCACAATTCCTAGGCTGATAAAGAGGTACAGCACATGAGCACAAGTTAAATTGTTAAGCAACACCTTACTTATGTCACCGACAATACTTACCTTTATAAAGTAAGCTTATAATAAATGTTAGACAATACTTAAGAATTTGACGTATATCTCAAAAAGAATGAAAGATGAAAGTAACTTACTCGAATTCTTATTTCCACAGCTGCAAGCACTGTAGAAATGTAGGCAATTTGTCGAGAGGCCTGGAAAGTTAATGTGATGTGTGAGAGAATGCGCACACACATGGCAGGAGCTAAGAAAGCTAAGTACATCATGCAATGACAGAACAGAGGCAGACACAAAACGAATATCAACTAAAGAGCAAATAGTCCAAAGATATAGCAAATAGCTGCTAAAAGCCCTTTAACATCATTGATTTGAATTATCTGCCGAACGACGCCATACATTTAGAAATTGGACAAAAAAAAAATTAACATTAATTGTCGCACAATGTAAACCCAGTCTCTATCAGATACTGAAATGCAAAATAATTTTTAGAAAACAAGAATTTATTTTTTACTTAAGTTAAAAAATGAATAATGAGCAAACCAATGTTGAATCGTTTATTTTGATATAATAATATTCTACAACTTGTGATTGTTTTCTCAAATGAGTGAACCTCTTCTCTAGGGAAATTCATATTGGCAATTAAATAAATGTGAAACGTAACGGCTGCGATTAATGTCCTACGTTTCCGCGGACAGACGTCGAGCAAAATCGATTGGGTCTCGGTCTTTAGGCCACACAATGGCAGGCTAATCCTGGCTTAAGCAGCACACGGCCAGGGCCGCGGAGCACCGCGCTTTACACCAGAGCGGTCTCCTTGCCGGGTGCGGGAATGCCATTCAATCAGCTGATTCTGACAGTTCTCGGGTGGCAGATCGTTCCTCCCCATGCACCCCGCCAACGAGGAACGAGGACCGGACAGCTCAAGGTGACGAAACAACCGGCAAACGACAAGACACACAAACTCGTGGGGCAGAGGGACTCCTTTGTAACTCTGTGAACGCGTCTGAGTAATCCACATGAACTCACCATTAGTATCGTCGAAGCTTCCGTTGGTATTTTCACCATCGTGCATTACGAGGCCGTTATTGGCGCAAGCGGCTTGGCCGAGCTCGCTGTCTGCCGCCCCGTCCATGGCTCATTCGCTTCAGCGCCACTCAATCGGTGAATGGAGGGGCCCAGGATTAGCGCACAGGAATTTCACACAGCTCGAGTGCCGACCGAGCGTCGCACCCGTATGCCACGACACTTTTCCCCGTCTGTTTATTTATTTGTTTTGTTCCCAGTTCAGGCCGACGCTAGTGACGTTCGAGACTACGCACCACGAAGTGCGGGAGTGGGGGTACAGCCAGGCACTGGCTGATGGAGTTGGTGCCGTTGCTGGGTGTTGGCGGCCAGGGTCTTTTCTGGAAATTTTCGATCGATTTGCTGTCGACCTTCGCAAGTAGGTGGGGCGGGCAGGGACGGCGGAGGAAAGGTCTGAAGCAAAGAAAATTATTGCACGTCACACGATTAATTGTTGCAGTGTAGATGCAAGGTATTGCGTAATCGCCGGAATACATCTCACAAGCCGTGTTCCTCCGGGAGCGCGCGCATGTTCAAAACGTGCGGCAGCTTGTTCTGCCCGCCATGCCATTCTGCATGCAAATAATTATAATGTATTCATTCATTCATTCGAAATCGTGTCAAATCCCAGCGAGGCTATAACTATGGGATTAAAATATAAGGATTGTGCGGTGAAATTTTAAAATGATTTATTTCATAACAGTAACAAAGAAACGATTTTTCCACACAGAGTCAAACATTGACTGTGTGCTAATTTTTGATTAGCAACGTATCCCAAGAATATAATTACTCTTATCCATAATTAATCTACAATTACAATTCACTCAGGGAATGACATTATTAGTTCCAAGCACAACTGAGAATACCTCACACAGAAATAGCTGATGACTTGCAATTAAAAACAATTGCAGTTTTATAAACACCATAAAACCTGATTGCTTTGCTGGTAACATAAATACTGGTTGCAACATTCAGTAATTTTATCTTTAATACACAGAACTAAAAAATACAAAATGTGTTGATGTGCTAAGGACTACACAATATTCTACTAAAAGCTTCTCTTAAGGTTTTCCTTTTAAATCTGTACTATTTGCTTCTGAACTGGGTTGATTCTCCTGTTGCTCTATTGCACTAGCCTTTTCCACATTCATTTCCATATTGTCTCCAAGACCATCTTCATAGTCATCATCTTTGCCATCTTTATTATCATACAGAGCAGGATACTGAGACATACACCCCTGCATCTCCTTAAAAAGATCGACACAGTCACTTCCTTTAGGATCTGCTGAACTGTAATGGAAGCATTGGAAAGCCTCGCGGAATTCAACACCACATGGTCCTGTGGCCATTCCACCCAAACATGGGCAATTCCAGTTGATTTCACCATTTGGAAATATTAAACCAGGTTGAGGTTCAAGTTCTGGTAGTTCTATTTTACTAGGAATATCATGATCTTCTTTCGCAGCAAAGATAATGACATCTTTTCCTTCTTTTTTACACACAGACATTGTAAGACCTGTGAACAAATCTGAAAATTTGGAAAAGCAGAACATTAGTTCTAGTAATAATAAAATAACACACTGTCCTCCTGACCAAACAAATTTGGCTGTAATCATATGGTTCAAAATGAATTGCCACTCACCAAATGTAACAAATGAAATTTGTGATCAACACTCAACATTTAAAAATAAGGAGAGATAAACTGTTTGGCTTTACCAATTTTATTCAAAATTTTGTGGACCCAAAGCAGTCCAACATAATTAACTTTGCAATAAGAAATAAATAGATTTTTGAAGTGCGTTGAGTAAAAACTACTACAGATAATTTAAATCAGCCAAGGGAAAATACATCAAACAGCATCCTTCTCATTGGGATGACCCTTGAGGTAGATGTTCTTTCTGGTAGGTCAGTGGATGTCTCTCCATGCATTCCTGCATAGAACGGAATTTATCTAGACAATCCTTGCCTTGAGGATTCTGCTTACTGTTATGATAACATGCAAATGCATTTCGGAATTCTATTCCACAAGGTCCTGTGGCCATCCCATCCAAACAAGGGCACATCCAATTGATATTACCATCAGATAAAATTAATCCCTGTTGACTTTCAGGTTTGGACAATTTAATTGAGCTTGGTTGAATGTGATCCATTTTTGAAACAAACAGTACAATGTCCTTTTCATCTTTCACGGTAGTTAGAGAGTTGGCCATTTTTAGGATCTAATGTCAGAATTTGATATGATGGCATGCAAAGTCTCACCAGCTGTGTTGGTAGGTACGGCTGTTAGCCTGAAGTGAGAGAAGTAAAGATGAGGATTGATGAACAGCGAAACAGCAATAAGTTCCGTCCAACTGTCCACAAAAGGTTAGCGATCCTCTGACCTTCACGTATTCCTTAGCTGGACAACGGATGATACCGCGCCGAGTCTCCTTGTCAAACTTAAGCAAGTCAATGTTGATACTTGCTCCAAACTGTAAGGAAGATTTACTAGAAGATGAGGAAATATTAGAGAGACAAAAATCAATCATTCTAAATAGATTAGAAACTTACATCTCCGAACAAAGTTCTCACAGCTGTACAAACGTAATTTTTGAATGAGATTGCATCAACATCAAGTTCCTTGCTGTCAGGAAAGTTTCTGTGTAAAATAAAATAAAACGTTTATTTTAAAAACATGTGTCATGATGAAAATCGAGGCAACAGAATAAAAAAGAAACAATTAGATATCCAAGATCCGTAATGGAAGCGTAGGAAACTCATTTACATTGTGGGTGATCAAGTAAAGAGGGAAATTAAAGAGAAGATAATAATAATTCGTTACTAAAAAAAATTGAATATCTATACTTTAAGTTTCCAAGGCTTACAATGCAGACCACTTCTTTGAATTACGACGATCATGAATTTAAAATAAACGTGCATTGAAGAGGTTAGGCGTACACCGCCTTTAATCTAGCACTAGAAATAAAAAGAATGCCATACTAACAACGAAACATCTAAGTAAAAATATTTACTCATACTGCCTACATGCAAATTACGTTTTGTAATCGGTGAATATACAGAAAAATACTGGAAGAATTTGGAAAATTATGAAACACAGAACGCCGAAAATTTGAGTATGGGAAACCTCGCTCTTCAGGAGGGCGTTCCTCAATGTTTTTCATACAACAACCACGGCCTTCGAGATCTTGCAGTTGCTCGCTGCATCTCCAAAGCAAAAGTAGCAAAAATCTAGTGCTCAGTGAAAGACGTCAGCTGCAAGCTGCAAAATGGAAAGTTGTGTACAACCGTGTGTTTGATGTTGATCGTACATTTTGAACGGTTTTGTGAACGTCCTATGAATGTTTATGGTGAACTTATATCGTGTATGTGAGTTGTGATTCCTCCGTCAACAATGCTGGGGAAGAAATCTTCGAAACCTCGCAAGGAAAGGCGAAGGTTAGTCCTACCTCGTTTGGGGGCTGTTTGTTTCTTCCGATCTGTGGAAACATATTACATTGCAATGGAAAGACCCATGATTCTGACTATTGTTTCTGCATGCATAAATCCTGCCTACCAAATATAAGTAGATAGTTGCATGTTTCAATGTGGTTCTGTGGGTGGTAAGGTGCTCATTATTCTTAAACAAAATACACACAAACAAGTCTGGGTCAAGTGCATTTCTGTGTGTTCTGGAAGGTATCCATTTACAAAAAAAAATCAGTCTAACCACATTTGACATTCTTCTAGTTTGCATGGACATCATAGTGATGAACTATAACTAGCTGTCTCATAATATCTCCCCAAAATGCTTGTTACCATTTGTTATTATTTCTCATAACCTTCAATGACATCAGTAGATGTGGTATTCACTATAGCCCTTACATCAAACTTTTGTTGCTTGATGGTTATTGATTTGAGAACTTTTAGTACGGGACAATTCTTTTACTCAATTCTCAGATGTCTGAACAACTTTAATTTTGTCGGAGGAAGTCAAACTGATTAACAGGATTGTTGACTAAATCGAATTTAACTTTATAACTATCAAAATTAGAGAAGTTTGAAAACATAAAACTATATTTGTTTTGTAAATGACAAAAGATGGTTAGGTTATGCAGACTTTCTTCCTCTGACGTTCTTCTTTGAGTCCTTATAGGGTAAACTACCAAGGTGCGTATATAATCTACCTCGAATGCTTATATTATCATATACAATTTCTTTCTTTGAATTCTCCTTATTAATTTTTGATGAATTCCTATTTAAAACACTTTTTTGTTGCATAGTTTGTCAATTAAACCCATTTTTAGGTTGATTCAATGTATTACCCTTCTGAAGGTCACATTGTGTCAACTGTCCAAAGCCTTGTTGCTGGACTTTGCTCTGGGGAAAAATCTCAAGGACTTGATGTGACCAGATGAGTTCTCTTCGGTAGTAAAACTGTCAACTAACTACCCCTTTTCAACCCCAACCCCTAAACCTCGAATGGTGAAATGAGCGAAATAAACTTGTCCGTTTTTATCGACATATTGCACCAGCTGGTAACGAATGTCACCGCGGTCACTCGCCGTTTAGGGGATGGGCGGAAGGGAGGAAGGGGGCCGTGTCTACCGAGCAGCCCCGCCCAGGGGCCAGTCAGTGGCCACCAAGCCGCCCCACACCGGCCCCCGCCCCCGAGGTTCCACAAATATGGCCCCTCCACTCGGCCATACCCTGCGCCCAACCAACCGCTGGGCCGGGCCGCCCCTCCCGGCCTGCCCGCAGGGGCCTGCCCTGCCTGCCCGGCCTGCCCCGCGGCTAGAACGCGTGGCCCCGCTCTAGCCGCGGCCCCGGCCCCGGTGGCGTCGGACCCCGCTGCACCGAATACAGCAGGCAGCCACTCTTTGTTTTGTTGTTCCGCCTTTCCGGCAGACGCGCCGTCGCGTCGCCGCCGCTCCGTTTTCGACGACAAAGTCTGGCGGACAGAACGCCTGATTGACTGTGATTGAAGGTCGTGCCTCGTGCCCGAGCGCCGCGCTCACTCCGAGCACAAGCAGCCTCTCAGCCTCTCTCGCTCCGCCGACCGGGCCATCGGAGCCGGCCCGGGAGGCGAGCCCATGGGCTAGACGAGACGAGGCGAGGGAATGCTGAGGCAAACGTCGTGGAAAGTCCCCGTCGCACTGCGTGGCTGTGGCTGGGCTGCGGCCGGGACCGAACGGGCAGCAGCGGGAGGCCGGCTGCTGCGGGCGGCGCATGGCATGGGGCCGCAGCCCGTCTGGGTAGGCAATGTGTGCGACCCACATGCAGCGCGGCACGGCGGGCGGCCTACCCGACCGGTCTGCAGGCGCCTGCAGCTGCGCCCGGATCGGCTTCACCTTTGAGCGCATGGGGCTGCAGCCGGTCTGAGTAGGCAATGTGTGCGCCCCAGATGCAGCACGGCACGGCGGCTGGCCTACCCGGCCGGCCTGTAGGCGCCTGCAGCTGCCGCCGGCCTTAGCGCATGGGGCAGCCCGTCTGGGTAGGCAATGTAAGCGACCCACTTGCAGCGCGGCGCGGCGGCTGGCCTACCCGACCGGCCTACAGGGGCACTACAGGGCCGTTACCTTCGAGCGCATGGACCCCCTGTCGCCTGTCCGGACCAGGTAGACCAGGGGAGCTACACGCGCAGCGCGGTGCGGCGGGCAGCCTGCAGGGGCCGGCCTGCTCGGGGGGATAGGAGGTAGACGGTAGACGGGCCCGTCAACAAAACCCGCCCTCTCGCTCTATCGCGCGCTTGGTTCATCCGCCTCTTATTTATTTCTGTCCGACGCTGTTTGCCGATGTTGTGGCTTTCGCCCGTCCGCTGCGCTGCGCCCGAGCCCGGCGCGGCCCTCTGCTTCTCGCCCTACAGCTGTCCGCCCAGCAGTCGGGCCAGCCCCTCCTGTTCCTGTCCGGTCTGACTGCCCTCCCCGGTGTCAGCACCGGACTCGCCCGCCGGCAGCAGAGCAGAGCTCGACCAGCGGACCGGAGCCCTCTGCGCCGTCCTTGGCCATGCCTCTGGGACCCGCGCCTCGCCCATGGGCACCTGCCCGAGCGGAAGACCACGCGCTGGCGTCGAGAAGCTCGCCTTCTTCTTCTACGAGCCCAAGGTCCGCCCGACCCAGTTCGGAATGTGGATTCGGTTTGGCGCTGAGATTAGGCGGTGGAACTCGATAAGGCCGCGGCCGCGTCTGGCCCTCGGCGCGACGCTGCACCGGAGGGGTCGGCGGCACGCGTATAACGACCCTCTTCTCCTGGCCAGGTCCGCCTGCGCCACCCGCGTCACGAGCGTCACGAGAGACGACCTATCAGCGCCTGGGCGGAGCGGGGCGCGGACAGCCAACCCTCGGCTCCAGCCAGGTTGGGTCAACGGCTCGCTTATCCGCCTTGGCCGGCCCCACCCCGCCCCACCCCACCCCGCCTCACTCACCACACGCCCCTGCGCGGTGCACGGACCCGCAAAACTACTTTGCGTATACGTTTTTGTGTACACACCCGTCGGCGTTGCGAGGCCCGCGGCTCCGCCTCGCCGCTGCGGCTGATCGGCTGTGCAGATGTAACCAGATGAAATGGAATCGACTTTTTGGTGCGTCGTTCCGTCTCGTCCCGTTCCGCCCCCGTCGCCCTCCTCGCCCTCCTCGCCCTCCTCCTCCTCTCCCATTGAGCGGCGCGCGCCGCCATCCGCTCCGGGGCAGACTTGACTTGTCCTTCTTGAGATAAGCCCCTTCCTCGCCCTGTTCGGCGGGGAGAGTATACCAAGGACGGCGACCTCCAAGGGACGACCACGCCACGGCGACGGTCCGCGCGGGCGGAGGTTGGCGACGGCGAGCGCGCGGGGCGGGGGCAGGCGAAGGCAGTGGCCGAGTAGTTGAATGATTCGCGGAGCGAGCGAACGAGCTGCCGAGCTTGCGAGGCAGCGAGTCCGCGAAGCGCAGCGACTATCAGTGGGCACTAAGGAAATTGTCCGTTCGTCACAGTGATTAACTGGAAACCCTATGATGACTATTAAAAAAAAGCGGGGGTCAAGGGGGCGGCAGCCC